TTTCTGTTGATACTTGGCTCGTACTGTAAAATCATCTCCACCATCCTGAAGCTGCCATCAGCCACAAGTCGGACCAAAGCCTTCTCCACTTGCTCATCTCATCTTATGGTTGTGGTGTTATTCTTTGGATCTGGTACTATTACTTACCTAAGACCCAAGAGTAGTCAATCAGAGGGAAATGACAAGGTACTTTCACTTTTCTACACTATCTTCACCCCTATGTTAAATCCCATGATATATAGTCTAAGAAACAAGGATGTCATAATGGCATTGAGAAAATTGCTATGGAAATGAAACACATTATTAAAGAATGAACAAACATATATAAAATTGATTTCTCACCACTAAATATTGTGTTCTTTTTAAGTGCCATTGAGTTGGTTTCAACTAACAGCAATCTTCTGTTAGTGTTTGCTAAGCAGAGTTGGTGGGTTTCAATTTCTGATCTCAAAGTTTAAAGTCCAATATTGATTGGTTTAAAGTCCAATGTTGATCATAAAGTGCCTCAACAGATGTCCATAGAACCTTTCCTTATTACAAGTTGAGTATTGAATGTTTTCTTCAGTTATTTCAGCTTGAGAAATGCTGAATGTGTTTGTCCCACAGTGCAGCTGGTGACCTTGTGGTTCACTGTCCTATTTATTATTATTATTATTGTTAATTAAGCAATTTATTGATGCCAATAGCTTGAGAGTCAACAATCCAGCCAAAGGGAGATCCTGGGCCCCACCATGATACGATGTCAGTACCAATGACATGAAGTCCTTCTAGTTGGTCAGAGAATCTTGAATCATGCTTTCAGGCCTCAGCCCCAGTCCACATTTGCCTAGTTACATCTGGGAGCCTTGAAACTTAAATGAGAAATATGAAAAAACTAACCCTGAAAAATGAGAAAAGCTCAGTATGCTTTTCCTGTTACTTCTTCAGCTTTAAAGTGTGAAGTGTTAAAAGAAGATGCCATTAAATACAGTCCATCAAGATCAGCCCAAGTGTTCCCTGCACAGGAAAATTCAAATCAATCTGTAAGACCCCAGCATAAAGAAAGGGACTCAACCATCCTGAGAATTGCACTGTGCACATGCAGATACCTAACTGACCTTAAGACAAAAATAGAGGACACTCTTTCTCCCATTAACTCCCCAATACCTACCAGCACACTTCACTGTACTGACTAGAGGAGGGGCCTGAGAGAGTGGACACCCACACCACCTGCTGGAGACTTCTAATTGCACACACACTGAAGGTGTAGCTCAGGACAGTCAACCACAGCCTCATTTATGTTCAAAAGTGGTGATTTTTGTCTACGTATTTATATTACTTCTGCTTTAGGCCCTTCTGATCACACATCTCTCCTGGAGGTGGGAGCTTTTTCTCCCTATGTTCCCTAAGAAGAGACAGCAATCATGGCCATATAGCCAAGCTATAAGCATATCCCATAATATTCCACCACTGAGACAAGAGCCAACAGCACCCACTAAGCATTACATGTGAAAAGGGAAACCAATCTCCTTATCATATTAACCGGAAGACACCTAGTAAGCTTAACAACAAAGAACAGGCATTCACTTAAGCTTTAAAAAAAAAAAAAAAAAGACAAAGAAAAGCAAAACACATAATTATCATGACAAACAAAAAGCAACCAATGATATTGGAACATGTTCCAAAACAGAAGAGGGTAGCCAATGCAAATGAACTAGAGACAGACAAAGGATTTCTAGAGGAGGAAAGGCAGGTTTTGGATATGCCTGAGAAAGAATTCAGAAGAATGATATGGAAACAAATTCAAATGATCCAAAAAGGGTTGGAGGAAAACAAGGAAGAAGTCAGGAATGTACTACAAGAGCAATCAAATAAGATTGATACAGCATTGGAAACTATTGAAAACCTGTAAAAAGATATCTATAAGATCAATAATAAGATATCAGAAATGGACAATACTCAGAAAGGGGAAAGGAGCAGAATAGAAGAGATGGAAGCCAGAACTAGTGAGCTGGAAGACAAATATCTCAATACTGCTAAGATAGATGAGCAAGAAGAAAAAAGGATTAAAAAAAAGCTGAAGAAAGTCTATGATTCATGCTGGATAACATGAAGAGGAACAACTTAAGAATTATTGGCATTCTGGAACAGGAAGAATTAGAGAAATCCACAGAGGAGATAGTTGAAGAGCTTCTGGAAGAAATTTTTCCTAACATCTTGAAAGATGAGAA